CATTTTCACACGCTACTTTATTTTCCAGTTATTGGTTTGTTCCTCTCCCCAATTTTCTTAGTGTTTCTTCGCTTATTTTGGTTGCCTTCCCTGTTCGAATTTCCAAATACTCACATTTATATACTCATTACTTACACATACATGAAAGGAAATTCATATAAATATACGTATATTTTGCGTAAGAGACATGAGCCTTGTTTTAACGTCCTGCACTGAAACAGGAAAAGGAAATGATGGAATTTTGATTGACTTGTCATGAGTTGCACATATCCCACATGCACACACAAGTAGAAAAACGTACATAGGCGCACATGAACACATAGTTGGGGAAAACGGACTGCAACCGAGGCAGCTTTTTTCCATTATTATTCTCTTCGTACTCTCTATACTGCCTTATTTGCTAACTTCACTTTTCTTTCACTTTCCCATTTATTGTATCGCAATTTCTTTTGTTTTATATCGAAAATTTCGATGATTTTTTTTTTTTGCCTTATTTTGTCTTGTTAGCGTTTTCTGTATTCATTTCGCAATGTTAATCCCTCTCTCGCACTGTTTTCTTAATTAGCATTTTCGTTGCATTTTCTACATTCGAATTTTCTCATTTAAAGCGAAAGACTCGGGTTCAATTCCCAACGGAGACCATCATGTTACGATTTTTAAGCACGATTTTGTTTCAATATCTAAGTTTGTTTACACGCTCATCAACATTTCTATCCTTCTTTCTGGTTTCTTATCTCCCTTTATCCTCTTGTTTGAAAATGCATATATATATATATTTTGTTTTGTTTTTATCTGTTCACGTATATATGTTTAAAAAAGAGAGAGAGAGAAAGGGAGAGTTCAAAAGCAAATTGGCCTCGAAAAATATTCATCCCACTAAAATTTGAATTACGAAAAATGACTTTTTCTCTCTCTCTCCATCCTCTCCCTCTTTTCTCTCCTCATCCCTTGCTAACACTCTATCTCACTTTCTATCTCTCTTTCTCCTTCCCCCCCTCCCCCCATCTCTTTATCCTTGTCCTTCCTCCTCTCACTCATTCTTTCTTTCTTTAACAGCAATGGTTCTTTACTGGCAGCAGTATTATCATCATAACCAATATCATGTAATTTTAATTTTTTCATTGTTGTAATTACAATTTTTACCATCATTATTAGTATTAGCAGTGTGTGTGTGTGTTGATGAGAAACAGACATAAATACACATGAACTGAGACATAAAAACATAAATTCGCCCAATACATGGAGCATAACCTAGATAAGCACTATGCAACTCAAGTAAAACTTAATTTCACAAGAATTACATGTCTCTGTGGTATAGTGGGTAGGACAGTCGCCTTTAAAGCGACAGACTCGGGTTCGATTCCTGACGAGGACTATATTATAAAGTTTTATTTTTATGCACGAATTCGTTTTACTCTAAATTTACATAAATCAATATTTCCATTTTTCTTTCTGTTTGCTTATCTGCTTCTATCCTCTTACTTTACAGTTATTGTTATTTATTTTTTTCTTTGATCATTCTTTTTACTTTGGTTTGTTTTGCTGATCTGTTTACGCTCATTTGTGTGTGTGTGTGTGTGTGTGTGTGTGTGTGTGTGTGTGTGTGTGTGTGTGTGTGTGTTGTGTGTGTGTGTGTGTGTGTGTGTGTGTGGTGTGTGTGTGTGTGTGTGTGTGTGTAAAAAGAGGGTGAGAGTTAAAAGGCAAACTGGCTGCGAAAACATTCCATCACTAAAATTCAAACAACGAAAAGTGACACTCCTTTCTCTCCCTCTTCACCCCCACCCCCTTTGTCTCTCTCTCCCTCCTTCCTTCACTAACACACTCTCTTTTTCTTTATTCTCAGTAACACCTTCTATCTCTCCTTCAGCCTCTCACAACCCTCTCTCTCTTCTCTCTTCTTCTCTCTGTTATAATTTCTCTTTCTCGCTTTAACTTTTTTTTCTGTTATGGTTATTATTACTGACAGCAGTATATTTCGGACTATCTTTACTATCATCATCGTTATCAATATCATGTCATCACTTTTATCAGCATTATTAGTTATTACCATTGTTTATCATACTTGTAATTATCTTTGCCATCATTAGTAATATCAGTATTATCTGGAACTAATATTTATATATTAATAGACCTATTTTCATAATTCGTTGTGACAATGAAACATGAGAACTACTGCAATAATCTGAACCATATAATGAGTAAACTATAACACAATTGAAGTACTTTATATGCGCACATGGCTCGCTCAACCTTTGTTGTCATCGCGTCAGCTGTGAAGGCGCGGCGGCCATTTGTACTTATCGAAGAGAAAGCTGCAGAAAGCAAGGAGGAAACGGCTTAATTACAGTTAGACACCAAGCAAAATATTGCCAGGCTAGTATTGTAGTGAAATTATAACAATAATGGCAATAAAATAACAAAATGACAGTAGTGAAATTGTTAGCAACCATAATGATACCAATAATAACAATAATAATGATAATGGGGACAAAAATAATAACAATAATGATGATAATAACAACAACAACAATGATAAATTAATAAAGATAATTATGACAATAATAGTGATAATGATAATGGCAACAATTATAGTGATAATAATGATGATGATGATGATAATGATACCGCATACTAACTCCAATAATGATAATGATAATACATATAAAATGATAATAATATTAATGATAACTGCAACAACAACAAAGACAGCAACAAAAATTACATAAAAAAGGAAAATAACGATAACAATAACAGTAGTAACAATACCAACAGCAGCAAAAGCAACTTGCAAACTGACTCGCATTCAAAAGAAAAAAATCATTTTTCTTCATTTGCCGATGACACTGAGAGAGCCGTAGAGAGAGAGAGAGAGAGAGAGAGGAGAGAGAGAGAGAGAGAGAGAGAGAGAGAGAGAGAGAGAGAGAGAGAGAGAGAGAGAGAGAGAGAGAGAGAGAGAGAGAGAGAGAGGAGAGAGAGAAAGAGAGGGAAAGTATATGTGTTGGGGGGGGGGGGGATTTTTGCTCATTCTGAATAACGTTTTCCATTGCAATTCTCCTTTCACTTAATTAAATTATATATATATATATATATATATATATATATATATATATTATATTATATATATATATTTTTTTTTTTTTTTTTTTTTTTTTTTTTTTTTTTTTTTTTTTTTTTTTTTTTTTATCGGCATTTCCCTTTCTCATCTATTCCTCAGTGTTACTTTTCAACTCGGACGAAAAAGAGAGAGAAGATGAAGAATACGGGAAAGAAAAAGACGAAGAGGAAGGAGAGGAGAGAGAGAGAGAGGGGGGGAAGGGGAGAGAGAAGAGGAGAGAGAGAGAGAGAGAGAGAGAGAGAGAGAGAGAGGAGAGAGAGAGAGAGAGAGAGAGAGAGAGAGAGAGAGAGAGAGAGAGAGAGAAGAGGAGAGAAAAGTTAAAAAAAACGTGCGAATAGAATCGAGAGAAAGGAGACGGAGATAGGAGGAAAGAGAGGACGTGAGAAATCTGCCTCTCCTTCCAAAGGCCGAGTTTTCGAGAGGCAAGACAGACAGACGTACAGGCAAGCAAAGAGAGCAGAGGAGAGAGAGAGAGAGAGAGAGAGAGAGAGAGAGAGAGAGAGAGAGAGAGAGAGAGAGAGAGAGAGAGAGAGAGAGAGAGAGGGGGGGGGGGGGGGAGGAGAGAGAGAAGAGAGAGGGAGAGAAGAGGAGAGAGAAGAGAGAGAGAGAGCGAGAGAGAGAAGAGAGAGAGAGAGAGAGAGAGAGAGAGAGAGAGAGAGAGTTCAGAAAGCAAAAATCATTTTAATGTTTAATATTTGAAACAAATGAATGTGCTAGACATCAAAGATCATATAGCACTATGGTTAAGTATTGTGTCGGAAAGGGGGAAAAGGGGGTTAAAGATTAGGATAACATGTGTTAGATGTTAAAGATTAGAGAGCATTATAGGATAGCGTGGTTGGAAAGGAAAAAAGAGAGTAAGTGAAACACAGAGCAGCGATTAGTAGCAAGGGGAGGGTTAAGGGAAAGGGCGATTGAAGCGAAAGTACAGTCCTGGGAAGGTATCGGAGCAGTGGTTTAGAGGAAAACAAGATGGATGTTGGAAAAGTAGTGAAGGGGTTAGAAGCAAATCCGGGTACGAGGGGTGGGTGGGTGGGGTGGGGAGGGAGTTAGATGTCAAAGATTAGAGTGTTTTTAGGAAGAGTATGGTAAAACGGAGAGAAGAGGGTAATTTAAGTGATTGCTGTCATTATTAATCGGTTACCATTTGTATTCTTTAACTCATTATCAAAGACCGCTGTGATTATCAATATCGTTAATTTTCATTATTTAAGAGGCATTACAGATACTATAAATTAATTTCATACAATTGTTATGACAAATATTTTTTATTCCATATTATCATAACACCATCATTGTCATTATCATTAATCATATCCCCTTCATTATCACAATTCCTTTATACTATCTAACGAATATCATCATGGAGTACAATGGTCGCGAGTACTCTTTATTATTAACCATTCATCTTTATTTCATTTATCTACGACATCATCAATACCGATTATCACCATTATCTTTATTTACCTTTCTTTTATTTGCTATTGTTTATGTATATTATAGTCCGTTTATGGTATTATCATTATAGTTGGTAGCGTTAAGTCATCTATCACTTGTCNCCCGTCACTCCCGAGGAGGACGAGCGAGACACCACCACCAGCAAGCAGCCGCCGTCCCCGTCACTCCAAGGAGACCCAGGAGCCGCCGTTCCCCGTTCACTCCCGAGGGGTGGAGTGGAGTGGCGTGCTGGGGCCCTAGGTGTGCTCAGGATGTGTGGACGTGGCGGTTGTAGTGGAGTGGGCGTGCTAGGGCCCTAGTTGTGCTCAGGATGTGTGGACGGTGGCGGTGGAGTGGAGTGGCGTGCTAGGGCCCTAGTTGTGCTCAGGATGTGTGGACGGGGGTGGCGGTGGAGTGAGTGGCGTGCAGGCCTCTAATGTTGCTCAGGATGTGTTGGACGGTGGCAGGAGAACCACACCACCAGTGCAGTGCCGCCATCCCGCCCCACTCCCGAGGAGGAGACCCAGCAGGCCACCGTTCCCCGTCACTCCGAGGAGGAGACACCACCACCCAGCAGGCAGGCCGCCGTCCCCGTCAACTACGAGGAGGAAGCGAGGAGCGAGCACACCACCGCAGAGCAGGCCGCCTCCCCGTCACCGAGAAGGAAGACGAGGAGAGCCACCACCACCCAGCAGCAGCCGCCGTTTCCGTCACTCCGGGGCGAGACCCAGCAGCGCCGTTCCCGTTCACTCCCGAGGGAGAGACCCCATCAGCCCGCCGTCCCATCACTCCGAGGAGACAGACCAGCAGAGTCCGCCGTTTCCCGTCACTCCCGAGAGGACAGCAGGTCGCGTCCCCCGTCACTCCGAGGAGGAACGAGGAGAGACGCACCACCCGCAGTAGGCCGCCGGTCCCGTCACTCCGAGGAGGAGACCAAGGCAAGCCGTCGTTCCGTCACTCCCGAGAGAGGAGACCACCACCACCAGCAGCAGGCGCCGTCCCCGTCCGACTCCCGAGAGACCCACATGCCAGCCGTTTCCGTCACTCCAGGAGGACCCAGCAGCCGCCGTCCCCGTCACTCCGAGGAGGAGACCACACCACCCAGCAAGCAGACTGCTTCCCATCACTCCCGAGGAGGAAGACCCAGGCAGGCCGCCGTCCCGTCACTCCGAGGAGGAGACCCAGCAGGTCGCGTCGCCCGTCATCCGAGGAGGACGAGGAGGAGACCACCAGCAGCAGGCCGCCGTCCCCGTCACTCCCGAGGAGAGACCCAGCAAACCGTCGTTCCCGTCACTCCCGAGGAGGAGACCACCACCACCAGCGCAGGCCGCCCGTCCCGTCACTCCCGAGGAGGACGAGGAGGAGACCACCACCACCCAGCAGCAGGCCGCCGTCCCCGTCACTCCCGAGGAGGACGAGGAGGAGACCACCACCACCCAGCAGCAGGCCGCCGTCCCGTCACTCCGAGGAGGACGAGGAGGAGACCACCACCACCCAGCAGCAGGCCGCCGTCCCGTCATCCGAGGAGGACGAGGAGGAGACCACCACCACCAGCAGAGGCCGCCGTTCCCGTCACTCCCGAGCAGGACGAGGAGGAGACCACCACCACCAGCAGCAGGGCCCGTCCCGTCCACTTCCCGAGGAGACCCAGCAGGCCGCCGTTCCCGTCACTTCCGAGGAGGAGACCCAGCAAGTCCGTCCCCGTCACTCCCGAAGAGAGAACATCACACCCAGCAGAGCCGCCGTCCTCGGCACTCCCGAGGAGAGACGAGGGGAGTCCACCACCACCCAGCAAGAGGCCGCCGTCCTCGTCACTCCTGAGGAGGAGACCCAGCAGGTCGCCGTCCCCGTCACTCCCGAGGAGGAGACCACCACCACCCAGCAGCAGGCCCCGCGTCCCCGTCACTCCAAGGAGGAACCAGCAAGCGCCGTCCCCTTCACTCCCGAGGAAAAGACCCACCACCACCAGCAGTCAGCCGCCGTCCCCGTCAATTCCGAGGAGGAGACCCAGCAGGCCCGCCGTCCCGTTACTCCCGAGGAAAAGACCACCACCACCTAGCATCAAGCCGCCGTCCCTGTCACTCCCGAGGAGGAGACCCAGCAGGCCGCCGTCCCGTCACTCCGAGGAAAAGCCACCCCCGTTGCATCAAGCCGCCGTCCCCGTCACTCCCGAGGAAAAGACCACCACCACCCAGCAACAGGCCGCCGTTCCCGTCACTCCCGAGGAGGAGACCCAGCAGGCCGCCGTCCCCGTCACTCCAAGGAGGAGACCACACCACCCTAGCATCAAGGCCGCGTCCCCGTCACTCCCGAGGAGGAGACCCAGCAGGCCGCCGTCCCGTCATCCCAAGAGGAGACCACCACCACTAGCTTCAAGGCGCCGTCCCGTCCCTCCCGAGGAGGAGACCCAGCAGGCCGCCGTCCCGTCACTCCGAGGAAAAGACCACACCACCTAGCATCAAGGCCGCCGTCCCCGTCACTCCCGAGGAAAAGACCACCACCACGCAGAAACAGGCCGCGTTCCCGTCACTCCGAGGAGGAGACCAGCAGGCGCCGTTCCCGTCACTCCCAAGGAGGCCACACCACACCTAGCAAAGCCGCTGTCCCGTCACTCCCGAGGAGGACCCAGCAGGGCCCGTCCCGTCACTTCCGAGGAAAGACACCACACTAGCAATTCAAGCCGCCGTCCCTGTAGAACTCCCGAAGAGGAGACACACCACCAGCAACAGCTGCCGTCCCCCGTTACTCCTGAGAGACGAGGAAGGAGACCACCCCACCAGCAGCAGGCGCCGTCCCGTCACTCCCGAGGAGGCCAGCAGGCCGCCGTTTCCGCACTCGCCGAGGAGGAGACCCAGCAGGTCGCCATCCCCGTCACCCGGGAGGAGACCCAGCAGGCGCCCGTCCCCGTCACTCCCGAGGAGGAGGACACCACACCAGCAGCAGCCGCCGTCCCGTCACTTCCCGAGGAGGAGATCACAGGCCGCGTTCCCGTCACTCCCGAGGAGGAGACCCAGCGGTCGCCTCCCGTCACTCCCGAGGAGGGGGACGAGGAGGAGACCACCACCCAACCGCAGCAGGCCGCCCTTCCCGCCACTTCCGAGGGAGGACCCACCACCAGCCAGCAGCAGGCCGCCCGATCCGTCATCCCGAGGACGGCGAGAGACCACCACCACCCAGCAGCAGGCCGCCGTCCCCGTCACTCCGAGGAGGAGGACGAGGAGAGACACCCCACCCAGCGTCCCCGTCCACTCCCGAGGAGACCCAGCAGTCCGTTCTTTCCCGTCACTCCCAGGAGACCCAGCAAGCTGTCGGTTCCCGTCACTCCGAGAGGGAGACCACCACCACCCAGCAGTAGGCGCCGTCCCCGTCATTCCCGAGGAGACCCAGCAGGCGCCAACCCGTCCTCCGAGGAGGAGACCAGCAAGCCGTCGTTCCGTCACTCACGAGAGGAGACCACCCCCACAGGCGCAGGGCCGCCGTCCCCGTCAACTCCCGAGGAGACCCAGCAGGCGCTCCGTTTCCCGTCACTCCCGAGGAGGAGACCCAGCAAGCTGCCCGTTCCCGGTCACTCCGAGGAGGAGACCACCACCACCAGAGCAGGTCTGCCGTTTCCATCACTCCCGAGGAGGAGACCAAAGCAGGCCGTCGTCCCCGTCGACTTCCGAGCAGAGACCCAGGCAGGTCGCCGTCCCTCGCTTCCGAGAGGACAGGAGGACAGACCACCCAGCAAGCAGGCGCCGTCCCCGTCACTCCCGAGGAGGAGACCAGCGAAAGCCGTCGTTCCCGTCACTCCCGAGGAGCGAGGACCACCATCACCCACACGCAGGCCGCCTTCCCCCGTCACTCCCAAGAGGACGAGGAGGAGACACCACCACCCAGTCGAGTCCGCCCAGTCCCGTCACTCCGAGAGAGGACGAGGAGGAGACAACCACACCGCAGCAGGCCGCCCCTCCCGTCATCTCCGAGCGAGACGAGGAGGAGACACCACACCAGCAGCCAGGCGCCTGTCCCCGTCACATCCCGAGGAGACGAGGAGGGAGACCACCACCACCCAGCAGCAGCCGCGTCCCCGTCATCCGAGTGAGAACAGCAGGCCCCGTTCCGTCACTCCCGAGGAGGAGACCCAGCAATCGCCGTCCGTCACTTCCCGAGAGGGAGATCATCACACCAGCAGCAGGCCGCGTCCTCGGCACTCCCGGAGGAGGAGGACGAGGGGGAGTCCACCACCACCCAGCAAGAGCCGCCGGTCCTCGTCACTCCTGAGGAGGAGACCCAGCAGTCGCCGTCCCGTCACTCCCGAGGAGGAGACCACACCACCCACAGCAGTCCGCCGTCCCATCACTCCCAAGGAGGAGACCCAGCAAGCCGCCGATCCCGTCACTCCCGAAGGAAAAGACCTTACCATCCACCACAGCAGCAGCCGCGTTCCCGTTCACTTCCAGAGGAGGAACCAGCAGCGCCCGTCCCCGTTACTCCCGAGGAAAAACACCACCACCTAAGGCATTCAAGCCGCCGTCGCTTGTCACTCCGCAGGAGGAGACCAGCAGCCGCCGTCCCGTCACTCCCGAGGAAAGACCACCACCCGTTGCATTTCAAGCCGCCGCTCCCGTCACTCCCGAGGGAAAATGACCACGCACCACCCCAGCAACAGGCCGCCGTTCCCGTCACTCCCGAGGAGAGGACTGCAGGGCGCCGTCCGTCACTCCCAAGAGGAGACACCACCACTTAGCCATCAAGCCGCCCGTCCCCGTCACTCCGAGGAGGAGACCCAGCAGCGCCGTCCCGTCACTCCACAGGAGGAGCCGCACCACCACCTAGCATCAAGCCGCCGTCCCCGTCACTCCCGAGGAGGAGAGCCCAGCAGGCGCCGTCCCGTCACTCCCGAGGAAAAGGACCACCCATCAACCTAGCATCAAGCCGCCGTCCCGTCATCCCGAGGACAAGACCACACCACCCAGCAAACAGGCCGCCCTTCCCCGTCACTCCGAGGAGGAGACCAGGCAGGCCGCCGTACACCGTTCACATCCCACCACCTTAGACATCAACTCGCTGTCCCCTTGTCGCTCCCGAGGAGGAGCACAAGTGCTGGTCCGCCGTCCCGTTACTTCCCGAGAGAAAAGCAACACACAACCCCAACCTAGCATATAACAGCCGCAACAGTCGCTGTAAACTCGGAAAGAGGAGACCACACACCAGCAACAGACTGCCTCCCCGTCACTTCACTGAGAGAGACGAGTAAGGAGACCACCAAACACCCAGCTCCAGCGCCTGTCTTTTCCTCTGTTTCACTCCCGAGGTGGCCCATTGTAGTGCCGTCTCCCTTCCTCTCTTACCTCCGAAGGAGTGGAGACCCACAGTCGCTCAGTTTTCCCGTTCACTCCCGAGGAGAGAACCTCTAGTGCAGGCTCCGCCCGTTCCCGTCACTTCCCGAGGAGTCAATACCTACCACCACCCAAAGCAGCAGGCCATCTTGTCCGTTCAACTCCGATGGTGGAGCCAGAGGACCAGCAGGGCCGCGCTCACAGACACTCAGACGGAGGCCCACAACCCCAGATTGTGCTCCGCCCGTTCCTCAATCCCTCTGTTAGGAGAGTATGACGAGGAGAGTACCACCATCCAGCCTCACAGTGTCCGTCCGTTCTTCGCCACTTCCGAATAGGAGGAACCACCACACCACCCAAGCAAAACAGGCTTGCAAGTCCACGTCACTCCTGAGGGAGGACGTAGGAGCACCGACCACACCGCAGGGACAGCAGGCCGCACGTCCCCGTAAACTAGTCGTGAGATGAGGACGAGAGATAGTACCATCACATCCCAGCTCCCTCTCGTCACTCCAGTGGTGTAACCTTAGCAGGCGGCGTGCGTTCCGTCATTTCTCGAGGGATCTCGTAAGCTGTTCTGTTTCCTCATCCCTTCGTAGGTTATGGAGCCACCACCCACCCGAAATCTTTTTTGGGGATTTATTAGTTTAGGCCGCCGCTTCCCCGAATTGCGATTGCCGAGGGCGATTCCTCATGGGCAGGGCCGCCAACCCGTCCACTCCGAAGGAGGAGACCAGCAGGTTCATTGCCTATCCCTCTCGTCACTCCCAGAGGGAGAGCCACCACGAGGGGCCCTCAGCAGTAGGCCTTGCCCGTCCCTCGTCATTCCGTAGGAGGGTAGACCATCCATCTCTTTAGCCGAGTTCATCATGGTCGCTCCTCCCCGTCACTTTCGAGGAAGGAGGTTCACCACCACCAAGCAGCAGGTCGTACGTCCCCATCACTCCGGGAGGAGGGATACCACTCATTTCCACTGCGGGGAAAGTAACAGGACAGCGTCGCTCGGGTGCCAACTCCTCGATGCGAGCAGACCCCAGCAGGCCGCCGTTTCAGATCACTCCCGAGGGTAGGCCAGAAGGTCGCCGTCCATCACTTCCCCAAGAGGGGAGGGAAGGGAAACCCCAATTTTTTTCAAAACCACCCAGCAGCAGGCGCCGTCTCGCACTCCAGAGGAGGAGGACGAGGAAGGTGACCACCACGGCCAGCAACGGCCGCCGCCGTCCTCGTCATCCTGATGGAGGAGAGCCAGCGGCCGCGTTCCGTCACTTCCGAGGACGGAGGCCAGCCATGTGCTTCGTCCGTCCCGTCGGTACTACGAGGTTATTGTGTGGGAGACCACGGACGAGCCCCAGCAGCTAGGTCGCCCGTCCCGCGCGTGGCTACTCCGATGGCCAGTTTGTTAGGCCACGAGGAGGAGACCACACCCCCAAAGCTTAGCATGGCCGCCGTTCCCTCACTCCTGTGTCATGGAGATGAACCAGCAGGGTCGCGCGGCCCCGCGAGCGTCGGGCGAGGAAGGGGACTGAGGGGAGGAAGACCACCACAGGCGCAGGGCGCCCGGGAGCAGCAGGGCCCGCCGTTTCCCGCCACTCTCGAGAGGGAGAACTGCAGCATATCCTGCGATCCCACGTTCCTCCGAGGAGAGACGATCCTACCACCATTTCCCAAGCACGGAAAGGCCGCGATTTCCGATCACTCCCGAGGAGGAACCAACCACCACCCCAGCAGCAGACCGCCGTTTCCGTCACTCCCGAGGAGGAGACCACCACCACCCAGCAGCAGGCCGCCGTTCCCGTCACTACTTTTGCTTGACCATCGCGTATAGTCGAGAGGGAGCGGCCAGGATATGATCCACCAACAAGGTATGGCATGTTTGATAGGGGAAGCAGACTGCGTGAGCTAGCGGAACGAACAGGTGTGTAGAAGGATGTGCTACGAGGACCAGCAAAGAGGCGTGTCATTCTACCTATCTAGAACATGGGGATTTACCTTGGTGAAATGACTGAAAGGGTGCGATTTAAAGGTGAGATATTCATTAACCAAGTAATTCTTCACGAATGGAGTCGAGACGAGTACTTCTGTTTTTTCGTCTAGTATGCTGGTGAGACCAATAGCTCGTGACGAGTCGCGGTATTCTCAGCTGTCTGTGTAAGGTCTTCCATCATCTGTATATTGGACAAAGCATCATCACTGTTTAGGAGGACATCTTTGGATAAATAAGACTTTAGTAGTATTGATGAGCAAATTGACTTTTTGTATTATCATTATAGAAAAGACAAATGTATTCAATTGCACAAAACTTATTTTACTGTAATATACATGCCTTCTGTTAAAGATGTCGGCAATGCGAGAACGTTTTAACGGTTTTGCCATATATTTTCATGACCCGCAAAAATATGCTCCACTCATATGTATATATGAGTTCTTGTATCTGAGTAAAAAGTCATTTTGTCTTTCTCTAAGTAAAGTCAAAGGACGTTTTTCTCTCCCTTATTATGATATTATGTGATTTTTTTTCTTTTCAAACGAGTTTTCTACTTTCCATTAATGGCAAAAGTACTGAAAATATTGCTTCGGTTTCCCACTTTTTCTCTTGTGTGTGATTTTAATCTTACCTCAATAATTTACCTCCTTGGCTCTATGTTTTTACAACCGTGTAAAATCAGGAATGTCTAATGCAAACGCATGGAAAGTAAGCTCCTTTGTTTTTTGTATATGTTTGCAAGTAATATGTTGATTATGGAAAATATATAGTTGCTGGTGACTTGGTTTAAGAAAAGAAATGGAAATTCGCATGCTAGCTGCTAAGACCTATCTTGTTTATATTTTCACAAACAGAGCAAATTCATTCTCTTTGATTTATTAGAGAGAAGAGAAACTGCGCAACCATGATTACACTAAATCGGATCATTAAAAACAGACCTATGCTTCTCGTCTATGAGTTCGTGTTTCTTATCTGAAGTAGGCAATCGTATTGAGGCTGTCATGTACACTTTCTACTCCTTTGGAGTAAATTTATCCTTGGTCGAAAATCCCTGTTTTAGGCGAATTTATCTATGTCCAATAGACGTAAAATTATAAAAGCTCTCTGACACGAAGGACAAACGTTCTTTTAACCTAAAACTTTTTCATATATAAAAGTTCTTGTTTTTGATAAAGAATCTGCTGCTAAAACGTCAAATAGTATGTTAACAATTACATGGTCTTCTTTTATACGTTTGTTTTTCTCACTTTTTTTTTATTTTGAAGGTGAAAATGTTTTTCAGGGGCCTTTAACGGTTTTCGTCACTACGACAATTAGTGAATAATTTAATGCATGCATTACTTTTTAAAAAATGGTGCCTAAATGTGCGTAATACGGGTAAAATTATATAAAAAAAAAATTCTATGACAAGAAAGGCAAACAAATATAATTTTATCCTAAAACGTCTTCATATCTAATCAAAACCTTTGTTTAGATAAAGAGCCTATGGCTAAAACGTTAAAAAAAATGTTACAATTGCTTAAAGCCTTCTCTTTTGTACATTTTTTCCGATAGAAATTGTTTTAGGAGACCTTTAACGGGTTTCGTCGCTATGGCAATTAGTGAATTACTTAGTAAAACATTATATCTTAACCAGGAGACGTTTAGACATATCATTGTTTCTTAATCTGACATGAATGGGTATTAAGTTTATCAAAAAATATTGAAGTCGAGTAGCAAGTTTTATTCAATGCCGGTGTAAAAATAGTTGTTTCTCTTTGCACAGGGAGATTTGATACAATGTAAGTGTGCATTACTTTTTAAAATGGTGCCTAGATGAGCGTTCCCCAATAAAGTAAATCACAGTAGGCCGACGGAGAGGTGACCATCTGCGAAAGATAGCAAGTTATTTACTTCGATCTTTGACCGCATATTTGTATGCAGGTGAGAAAGACGATTGTGGGAGTTTGGTTGAATTTATGCTCTCAATCAAGGTTATTTTTTTACCTTTTTACAATGCTGTTTCTGTTCTTATAAGACAAAAATCATTATGACAGTGAGCACGCTCCTGACAAGGGAGATTACTGTAACCAACGAGGGAGTTGCATGGTTCCTTCTCTTTGTCATATACTTGTAATATAGGCGATTTTGAGGGGTATAAAGGTTGGGTAAATCACTAAAAAGCTAGCCAGCATTCTGTGTTGATTCGTCTTCT